AGAGTGATATGCAACCACTGAGGAGAACTCAGTGTGAATTTTGTCACCTCTATATCCACTTAACCCCCCAATTCACATTTAACTAGCTTGATAATCAAAATATCACGAGGTACTTTATCACACTATTATTATTATTTACTAGATATATGTATGCTTTATTGAAACCTAGATTTCAAAACTAGACAAGAAACAATGGATGCAAACTAATCAAGGAGGGAAGCAACCTAGAACTAAGGAGAAATTTCCAAACAGTGAGAACAATTAACCAGTGGAATGGCTTGCCTTCAGAATTTGTGGGTGTTTCATCTCTGGAGGTTTTTAAGAAGAGACTGGACAGCCACTTGTTTGGAATGGTATAGGGCAGACATGTCAAACACAAGGCCCAGGGGCCGGATGCAGCCCGCGAAGTGGTTTCATGCGGCCCGCGAAGCCATCCTGGAAACAGTGAGGGAACGGCCCCCGCTGCCTTGGCCCTGGCCCTGGCCAGCCGGGAGCCAAGATACAATTTTGTGGTGGCCATCTATGCTGAAATGCATTCAGTCTTAGCTCCACAAGGCCGTCTGGAAACAGCGAGGAACCAGCCCCTGCCGCGTCGGCCCCGCCCCCTCAGTGCATGCTGGGGAGATGTCACCCTTTGTGAGGAATGAAGAAATGCACCATCGCCTGGAAGTGGCCAGCAAATGGCCCTCACCTACTTCACATATCCGGCTTGATGGGCTCTGCCCTGGTCCCACCTCCTTCTGCCAGAGACCCTCAGATCTGTCCCACTTCTGCCCAGGCCCCCACAGGCACCCTTGACGCGAATGATGTAGAGCTGGCCACGCCCACCCAGTAGGCCACACCCATTCCATCCACGCCTATCCAGCAGGCCACACCCACCCTGGCCACACCCACTCAGCCCTCCAAGGGCAACCGCAAAGCTGATGCGGCCCTCAATGAAATTGAGTTTGATACCCTTGGTATAGGGTCTCCTGCTTGAGCAGGAGGGTTAGACTAAAAAACCTCTAAGGTCCCTTCCAGCTCTGTTATGGTTAGATATACTATACTATTCAAATATAATACTTCAAGAGAAAGATGGCATTATTTATTTAATAAACTTCTGAACTGCCCATCTCCCTTTTAGAGGGTCTCTCTAATTAAGGTTAAGCAAATCACCCCACTTCAAATCAGGATAACCGTGGGGATGCTGTGACAATCCCAATTTCAGGCTTCCCATAAGCGAGGGCAACTTGTTTCTATCTAGCATGTTGCTAGAAGAAAAAGATTGTCAAGTGGCTGAAAATGTTCAGGGACAGTAAGCAGTAACCTGATTGGAATCTCAGATGAGGAAGTTGTAAGGAAGGTAAGGCTGAGTATATAAGCTATTGGTCTATTAAATGGCTGAGGAAATGGCATGCCAATATGAAACCCATTAAGGAATGTCAGTTTCCACTCATTGGAATGTTTGATCTTAAAATGTTGCAACATCTATATTTTTGTTGGTAAGTTGCCCCATAAGGCCTATGAACAAAGATGATAAAAACTAGAATCTGTTCTTTCTGTTCCAGAGAATAGAATAACAGCAAAGTGAATGTAAGTTACAGAGAAGCAGATTCCAACTAAACTTTAGAAAATACTTCATAGCAGCCAGAGGACTTTCTCAGTGGTACTCATTATCCAAAAAGGAACTGAACTTCGGTTCAAATGGAGACTAGACAACATTTGACTGAGATATTTTGATTTATGACCTGAATGTCATCTTCCAACATTTTGAATCTATAGCATACAACGTTCCCACAATTTCCTCAGTCAAAACATTGGAAAGTTGTTCAATCAAAAAAATGACATAAAATTTGGCAAGCCTTGTTCTTGACAAATCCATGATGTCTCCTGTTAATTACAACATCATTTTCAAAATGCCTAGAGATTGTTACAATGTTCTCTTGATTCTTTTAAGATATTGATTCCAGATTGTCTGTATTCATCTTTGTTTTTCTGAAGACAGGAACAGTTGCCTTCCTTTAGTCTTCTACCCATTCTCCAATATAGTTAAAAAGATAATAAATAAAGGTTTGGCCCAATCAGCAGCAATTTCTTCATACCCCTTCAATGCAATACTGCTGGAAATTTAAACTTATTCAAAGTAAATTTACCTATAATTTGTACCATACACTGATCAGTCTGTTTTTATGCATTTTTATGATTTTTTTATGAGTCCATTGGAGTTGGAGGGCTGTAATAAATTTAAATAAAGGTTAGTAGTTGACAGAACATTCAAATTAGTGCAAAATGATACTTAAGATCACGCTAGATAACCTTCTGTTTGTTAATAGAAGAAAAATATTTATTAAAAAAATAAACAGTCAACAAATGTGAGGATTATCTGAGATGCATTTAAAGTGGTAAAATAAAACAATATCTTCTATATCTTGGTGGGGAAAATGAAAGAATTATTTCTTCGTTGCTAGCATTTAACTACCTTGACTGAGGAGCTGATATGCTTTATACATTTTAAAAAAGTTTTTAATTGCTTGTTGCATCCTTCACAGAAGGAGCAGAATGCCACTTTTCATTAGTTCCTCCTTCTTATGAAGGATAAATGTCTCCTATAAAGGATAAGATTAGAACTGCTCTCTGGACCTGTAAGGGTAAATCACTGACAATCTTTTTCTGCCAGCAAGATGTGTATTCCAGAAACAAGTTGCTCTTAATAATGGAAAGCTTGATCTTAGGCTTGTCATAGCATCTCAGTGGTCATGTGACGGCCATTTGGACCTTTTCAACTAACAGGCATTTCTGACCATCGCTGCGCCATTCATGTGCTTCCCAGCTGGCTTCCAACAAACAAAATCAAAGAAGCCAGCAGTGAAATTACAAGTCAGTCATGTGATGTGTTGCTTAATGACCACAGTGATTCATTAAAACAACCGCAGCAGAAGGTTGTAACTCTATTGAGTCATGTCTTAATTACTGCTTTGTGTAGCAATGAAATTGCCAGTCCCAACTGCAGAGTTGTTAAGTGAAGGCTATTTCTGTGTTTAATGTGATCATATTTACATATCCCGAGGCACAAACGACCAGGCTCAAATTATCCTGCTTTAGGCACAGACTAATAGAGTTGGAAGGGAAGGTCTTCTAGTCCAACCCCCTTTTCAAGCAGGAGACCCTCTGCTATTTTAGACCAGGGCTTTTCAACCAGTGGTACGGGTACCACCTGTGGTACATTGGCACCTGGCAGGTGGTATGCAACCATCCTAGAAAAGTGGTAGCGGGGGAGGGGAATGAGCTGAAGCGATGGCAGCACCCCACAAGCCTGAGCGAGAGATGGCTGGAGCTGCAGGGCTGTCAGGGCTCAGTGGAAGCGCCAGGATCAGCGCCAGGCTCCAGCTGGAAAGCAGCGCTGATCCTGGTGCTTCTGCTGAGTCCTGAAGAAGCGCCGATCAGCTGGAATGCTGCAGCATCTCCAGGGTCTTGTGATTTACATTCAGATGCTTGGCAACTGATTCATATTTATGATGGTCAGTGTCCCAGGGTCATGTGAAGTGACCAAAACCTGCTGCAACCACCCAGCAGACGGGGAGAATAAAAACCAAACACCCCCCCACCCCACCCCATCTGCCAATCCTCAACAGAAATACTCACAACAATGAAAACCTCGGACAGGAGGAAGAGCGCCGCCAGGAGGGCAGGCAGGTGTCTTGCTCGGCTGTGGCTTGGGGGGCACTTTTTTCAGTGCCATTGTAACTTCGAACAGTCGCTAAGCGAACTGTTGTAAGTCGAGGACTACCTGTACTTTATCACTTTTTTCCTCTTTTTTGGGGGGGGGGGGGGTCATCAGGTTTTTGGCACCTTGCTAGGCGACTGGTGGTACTCGGATATTGCCATATCCTAAAAGTGGTACAATGGGTGAAAAGGTTGAAAAGCCCTGTTTTAGACAAGCGGTTGTCCGCTCTTTTCTTAAAAAGCTCCAGTGAGGGTGCACACACAAGCCAAAGGCACGTGCAAAGACCCAGTTGTCTGAAAAAGGCTCAGAAGTGTAGGAAAGGTGGAAGGCAAGCGAAGAAGAGGACGACCAGCAGCAAGGTGGATGGATTCCGTTAGTGGCGGTGGCTGCACCATTAGAAGACCTGAGAGGTCATGTTAGGGACAGATCGTCAGGGAGGAAATCTGTCACAAGGAGTCGAACGAACGTGATGGCATTATAATCACTCATCCACTTAGGTAGAAATAAATGACTGCTGCTTTAACGTTCAACAAAATAAGAATGCTCTGAAATATTAATCACAATTCCGGCAGGAATACATTGAGACAGTGCCTGGAACAAGCGCGCGCTTGCATTTCTCCACCCGCCAATCAATTTCCTCCCCCCCCCCTTCTCTCTCGGCCCCACCTTCCCGCGCCTACTTGAAATCCCATTTGACTCGCGAGAAAAGACAGGAAAATGACGCAGGCAGAACCTGCTCTTCAGACGAGGCACTAGATCTAGAAAGGATAGAACTACAGAATTTGTCGTGACAAGATTCAAAAATACTTCCAGGTACCGTTTCCTTCTATTTTTTTATCGGCGCAAAACAGATCCACATATCGTTATGTGCATTCAACATCTCGTCTGTTTGTTTCAATATAAGAAAGCAGCTTTGAGACCGTTTTGTTTTCTTGATTTCTAACTCTATGCACGGTTTTTTTCCCGAGGACCCCAATTTTTTTTGCCTACACCGTTGCCTATTCCTTACGTCGAAGCTGCTCTATTCAGCGGGGTCCACACACACACACACACACACACACACACACACACACACACGTCGATGCTGGCTGCTGAAAGAAGAAACTACCCAAGGAAACTATTCACGGTTTCTTGTTATCGGGAATGCTGGATTTGGGATTCTTCGAATCCGGCGGCTACGAGACGACCCCGGGCAGAGAGGGCGCGTCGGGGTCCTTCGCGATGGCGGAACAGGAAGTGGAGGAGAGGAGGGGCGTGGCCGGGCGTCGAGGGCGGGGACTGCTGCGAAGTGAGTCGCGTCCTGCGCTTGGAGCGGCTGCCGAACCGGACCGCGCCAGGTTGACCCCCTCGGGGTGGTTGTCGTTAACGTTCGTGTTGCCGCCGCTGCCGCCAACGTTGTCATGCCGCTCTTCGCCCCCAACCCCTTCGAGCAGGATGTGGGTGAGTGGAACAGGAGTGGAGGAGATTTTTCTGCCCGGCAGGAAAAGAGCAGCAGCCGCCCTTAAAGGCTCCCGCCACGGCCTCCGGGCACGGGCACGGGTCGGTTCCCCCCGCCCCCCCATTCCCGGGGGGAGATCAGCTCCGTCGGCGAGGCCAACCCCTGCCCACCCAGTTCCGTCCCGTCCCAGGACTGCCCTCTCGACAAGGTGGTCGGTCGTCCTCTGGCTGAGGATCTGAGTTGAGGCCACCTGTGCGGGAGAGGAAGTGGAGCAAGAGGCCCCGGGTACCTGGAGGGAACAGGATTCCCCCCCTCCCCCCCTTAAGAGGTTCAAATGATTTTGCGAAATACTCTCTGGCTGGGGAAACCTGATTCTCCTCCTCGTCACCAGATCAGACCCGAAGCGGAAAGCGAAAAGCGAAAGATTTGCCCAAAATTAAATTTAAGTGTGGATCCTAATCTGGTCTATTATTGTTTTAAAGGCAAATTGGCTTCGGGGGAAAAAAAATAATCCACAGGCCCACCTCTAGGTGTATAATTCAGTCGTATTGCCAGAATTAGAACTATGGACACTTTTTAAAATGAGGGGGGGGGAGAATAATTCAGAAACTAAAGCCAAATGACTTCATATCAAAAGAAGTAATAGTTTTTATTTACAGCTAAGTAGAGAGGTTTTTTTTTTAATGCTAATAGAGAAGGAATTGCCACATTTCATTAAATGACCGTTTCATTGAAAGGAATTTATTTTGCATTCCCAACAACCCTATTTGGTGATTCTTTTGATCAGGGCAAGTTTATAAGGCAGGAAATGGCCTTCAAAATATAACTTATACAACTGGAATTAGGAGAGGTGGCTAGTTATGTTAACGATTCAAAGACCAGTTTTGATTGGTAGGAATAGAAATTAAGTTCTTAAAAGGTCTAAAATAATCCTCGACTTACGACCACAATTGAGCCCAAATTTATGTTGCTAAGTGAGAAATTTGTTAAAAGAGTATGCCCCCTTTGTTAAGTGAATCACTGCAGTTGTTAAATTAGCAACATGGTTATTAATAAGTGAATCCAATTTCCCGATTGACTTTGCTTGTCAGAACACATTATAAAAGTTGATCATATGACCCCGGGACACTGCAACCATCATAAATATGAGTCAGTTGCCAAGCATCTAAATTTTGATCATGTGACAATGGGGATGCTGCAACAGCCATAAGTGTGAAAATGGTCATAAATCACTTTTCAGTGCTGTTGTAATTTTGAACAGTCACTGTTACATTAGCTGTAATTGATTGGTGTCTTGGTTTAACTATATAGAGCTGTTGCTTGGTTAAACTTCAAAAATAAAGATCTTTATTCCAAAATCTAATGATAAAATTTCCAGGTACTGATGTTGAACTTCTTAGATTTGTTTGCCCTCTTTGCTACTTTATGCCTTTATTTTAGTTTCTCTTGCTTAGTTGAATTCATGAGAATTGGATCTAAAAGTGAAATAATTCATGACTTTACAAATTATCTAAAGTTGTGTATTACTAAAGGGGATTAGACAAGAAATCATACATCAGTAGAGATGACTTGACACTTTTTTTTCTCATTTGCAATAGTACAGCTATAAGTCATCTGCATGTTGCAGGATGTCATTTCTGATTGGTGAATATGTTAAAATTAGAGAATGAATATCTTTACAAGCTGTAAATACCTGAAGCAAATGTCCTGTTAAAACTTAGTTGGATTTACAGTATTTTATATGTAGATGTGTATAAGATAAGTATAAGGCCTAGTAATTATATATTTGCAGATTTGAGTCTCAGTTGTACTGTACATTGTCATGAATTATTTTTCAAGAAATACATTTTTCATGTCTAAAAGTACTTGATCAAAAATTATTTTTAAAATGTCAGTTACTAAAACAATTACAACCTTTAACAATTGCACAAGAACATTGAAAAAAATCCACACAAAGTGCTTTTAAAAATTAAAAAAAGTCTTCTTTGAGTTTTTTAAAAAAGACATAACCAAGAAAACATTTTTCTTCAGAAGGTAGTTTGATGTTTTAGTATTACAGTTGACTTGCCAGTGTTTGCCTCTAGGGATTAATGTTCTTCATGGGCAAGAACAGAGACACATAACTGACATATAACATTAAGTTGTAATGTGGTTTAATGTTGCCTTTGGTTTAGCCTCACTGTGAATGCCCTCAAGAAGGAGCTATTGTTACAAACTACAGGGGCTGAATTTGCATATAGTATTTTACCATACAAGAACCCTTAAAATAATGTTCATGCAAAAAATAATGCATAAAAAAATAACAAAAAACTCACAATGAAATTAATTTCTGGCCTATTTAATCCATGTTTTTCAACAAGTAGCAAGGCGGCACTGAATCCCGGCATGTAAAAATTCCCACCAGTGTGGATGCTAGCTTTGCACTATGTATAATATTAAAAAAATGATTATATTTTTCCATCACAATTTCTCATGGAACCTCTAGCGACCTCTTGTGGAACCGTAGTTGAGAAAAACTGGCTTAGAGCCTAGAATATTGGAAGATTATTTTTCATTGTGTGCAGATGTTAGATTGTATAAACATTCAAAAGAGATTTTAAATTGAGTAGATGGGAAATTAGCTGCAATTTAATAAAAATTTACGGGCTTTATATTAAATTCCTGTCAGAAGCAATTACGTTTTATGTTAGCTGAAGCTTCTAGAAACTTAACAGAAGTTCCTACTCAGATTTATATAATATGACTAACCTTTTATTAATGAGAAAACATTTACTATCAGAACCATATTTTTTTCTCTTGAGAACTTAAATGGTAGTGTTTTGCTGATGAAAGTTGCAATCCTGTGCCTGCTTCCTCAGATTTTATTGATGTAAATTGTTTAATTGCTGTTTTAATTTCTGGTGACAAGATGTTTTTAATTCCAAGATATACAAATCACATTTTTTTAAATATTTTACCAAGAGAGAGGATAAATAGAGGATAGAATCAAAACTTAAGCTTTTTAAAAATAATCTTTTATATTTATAAATGTTCATAAAAATATTTAATTCTAGCACAATGCACCTCATGTATCTTTAGAAAAATCATAGAAACAATGCTCTTGCATGTTTTTTTGTTGAAATAAGTGTTTTCAAAGTAGACATTTTAATCAGAAAATCATAGAGATAAAATTTATGAAGGGTCTGAGAGATCATCTAGCCCAGTCCAGAAATCTACTATTATATGACCATCCAGACTGTTTAAATACAGAACAAAGAAGAGTCTGCTACTTCCTAAGATAGTCTTTTCCATTACTGAATAGCACTTATCTTCCAGAACATCTTCCTCATGTCCACCTCCAATCTGCTTCCTTGTAATTTAAACCCACTATTGTTTGTCTTCCTGAATAGATTTGCAAGGTGCTTCCTAAATATATTTTTCTCAGTTCTTGTGTATTGTAGCCTATTACTTGCCAAGAGTCCCTCATCTTGGAAATATATCCTACGATCAAACTATTTCCTATGGAACCATCTGTATGCCTCCTGTTTGCTTCCAGTATTCTTCTTGGACCAAGAAGGAGTCAAGAAAATATCACCTGTGTCCTCAGCCTGATCCTCTTATTGCTTTACAGTACCATATAGTAACTTCATGGTTGTATCATTTGTTCCCATGTGGATTAGTGAAGAGGGATAATGGTTAGTAGACATCAAGTATTTTGGGAACCCTATATATGTATGCATTTTTTTATATGCCACCCAGTCTTAAGGACTCTTTACAGGGCTAAGAATCTTATAAAATTACACCTGCAAAGAAAGAAAAAGAGACAAAACCCCAAATATACATAAAACTAAAAAGTAGAATACATAGAAGTAGAGGATACAAAAGTCAGATGTTCTCAGAGCTGATTGAATATCTCTAGGTAATGTAGTTGTCGAAAAAGCCCACTTTTGAGGGCCTGTCAGTTGGCAGTCTTGTAAAAATGAGATCTGTAGGGAGTTGACTATGTTTGAACTGATGGAACATTAAAATGAGTATGCGAGAATGCGTCCCCTTATATAACCAGATCCAGAACTATGCAGAGATTGGTGGCGAGATGGGCAGCCATATAAATCTACTAAGTAAATAAATAAAACCCAGTGCTTCTCCTAAGCCAGTGGATTCATCTATATAAGATCAACTCATAACTGTCCAAATTGATACAGTACATTCTATACCAGCTGTAGGTTTTGAATATTCTTTAAAGAGAGGCCCATGAAGAGTACATCACAATAATTCCTCAGAAGGTGACTAGAACACAAATGATTGTGAGCAAGACATCCTGATCCAGGAATGTCCACAATTGGCACAAAGAAGTAACAGTGGTAAAGTTATTGTTGTTATATTTTTAATCTGCTATCAGCCCTCCTGGATAAACCAGACAGGAAACATGACTAGATGAGCTAAATCTATTTTATCGTAAGGCTACATTAACACAATTTTGCAAGTCTGAAAGTACAAAACTCCCACCCCACTTTTAATGGCTTAATCCA